ATGACTAAGTTTGAATGAACTGTATTGGTACAGCTGTTGTTATCAGAAACTCAATGGTACAATCACAGTCATGACTAAGTTTGAATGAACTGTATTGGTACAGCTGTTGTTATCAGAAACTCAAATGGTACAATCACAGTCATGACTAAGTTTGAATGAACTGTATTGGTACAGCTGTTGTTATCAGAAACTCAAATGGTACAATCACAGTCATGTCAATTAGTACAAAGCTCTGAAATACTTCGCAACAGAGAGAGTTCTGTATTCAACAGAGAATTTGGCAGAAAGGCTAAAAGTTATTATGTTTAGTGGATTTTTTACAAGGTTAAAATATATTTTGCTTTATTACTTGATTTTTAATGGATTTACGTTTGTGGTATACCAAAACAGTCACTTTACTCTGCAGTAACAACAGGTTTTGTAACTGGGTGTGTAGAGAAAGAAACAAATGTGATGAATAGGACTACTTAGAAATGTCTGGATCTTAAAAGAAATTTAAAACTGGACTTAATGCAAATGAAACTAAGCTGGAATGACCTGGGAGTGGATAACTTTATTAAGATGAAGATAATAAACTGTGTTTGCAATTTGAAAACAATCTCATTGAACACATTCTCTTTATGGCCAACTGCATGAGAAAATTTTATGTATGAGGTGATACTTCATATCCCATGAAAGTCACACAATATAACAACCTTGACTCATTTCTGGTACAGAGAATAACACCTAGAACTGGTTTCACACTTGGATTAAATAGAGTATTCCCGGTTCTGAAGTAGACAAGTATCAAATTAAAAAACTATCATCATATATAAACTACAAGAGAATTAAAAGAAGTTGATTAGATGTAATAAAATGAAAATAACATTACCTTTCTGTTTGTAGCCAAAAATCAAGTCTATCCACTGGTGGAGTTGACAAGATACAAACTCTGATTCCAAAGCCTATAAAAACAGGTTACATGTTAATATTCCATAATTAATATTAGAATTTACTGTACAAGTTTTGTTGTTTTCTCACTAGAGGGAAGTCTCCACAAGAAGCAATAAGTTAGCAAATAGTCTAATAAAAATATAATTAATATTAGAATTTACTGTACAAGTTTCCACAAGAAGCAATAAGTTAGCAAATAGTCTAATAGTCTAATAGTCTAATAAAAATATAAACAAACCTTTTATATATCTTCTTAACAAATATTAAAACCCTATTAAAGAAAGGTGTTTGTATTTTCTCACAAGTTAAATATTAAAACACTATTAAAGAAAGGTGTTTGTATTTTCTCACATGTTAAATATTAAAACCCTATTATAAAAAGGTGTTTGTATTTTCTCACAAGTTAAATATTAAAACACTATTAAAGAAAGGTGTTTGTATTTTCTCACAAGTTAAATATTAAAACACTATTAAAGAAAGGTGTTTGTATTTTCTCACAAGTTAAATATTAAAACACTATTAAAGAAAGGTGTTTGTATTTTCTCACAAGTTAAATATTA